TTCGGGTGCCAATCTCTGTCGATCTCCGACACATTTATGTTAACCACTGATACTAACACTTCAAACAAATCACAAACATGGCAGCATTAATTTTATACTATATCGCACCATCTATACTTCTCTAAATATTTATCGCGAGGGGAACGTTACTGTATCTCAACGTTCTTCAATATTTAGTCCGACTTTAGATAAATACGAGAGCATCTGTTCATTCTTAAATCTTATAATTTATTAATGAACTGATCGGAGTGATAACGATATAGCACGCGTGCAATCTGGTTTTATTCGATAATACGCTCATCATGTTCGCTAAGATTAAAAAGTACCTGGATACTGATTACTGCGCCCTGGAGGTAGATTAACATTTATGAAATTTGATTTTTACTCGAATGGAAATTACATGAATTTACAAATTTATGATTGATTCCTCGTGATGCAGCCCACAGTACGATCATATTTCATTAATATCCTTATACATGTACCTGTTTTTTATTATTAGTTATCCTTCTTTAAGTTAATAAAATATGGTTCGTATCACTATTGAGAGTGTGCGTTAACATTTATGTGTCTGAGGGCGCCATCCATCACAGCCCGGACATCGTCAGATATACCTCATATATCAAACAAAAATGAAGACTAGGTGTAGTATGTTGACTTATCTTTCGTTCAGTGTCGTCACAATTTCTTGTGTCTCTGACAGCTCAAACTCACTAAGCAATGTATAATCTCAGTTCAGTTCAGTGGTATTTGAAAAATGTTCAGATTACAGTCTGAAAAATGTCAGTTGAAGAAAAACAAAGCCAGATGTCATTGGATACTATCAATACATATATACAGACTGACTGACTCAAACGTATTTTAATTTAGCACCCATAGATCACTTTCATGACAATGAATATTTAAAACATGCCTACCATTTGTGTTAAACATGTTTCATCATTGGACGTGTAATATCATTGTAGTCAGGTTTACACTATACAGACAAGATAGTTATAGTTTTACTATAATTTTATTTTATATTTCTGTTAGATGTATTGTGTTCATGCCTATGAAAAGGGTGACGGGATGATCATTCTGATTCGTAACCTGGGTAATCTTTGATTTTTGCAATATCCGTTATGTATGTAATGCATTGTATCTGTTTATGTCGCTACTTTGCTGTCAATAACGTCACTCCTATCAATGGGGGATATCCTGTGGTTGTCCCTCAAATTGTTTAGACGTCCATCGTTGGTCTTTAGATCGCGGTCAATGTCCCCATGTACCATTGACATTGTTTTCATCCTCACATTTATTTATCTCTAGTAGTTATTCCAAAGATTATTTTCTTCTGTTCTGAATGTTTATTGTTGTAAAGCTATACAAATACGCCGAGAATTGTTTTACGGGGGGTTCCATGCTGGATATGGTCGCCGATCGGACACGATTTCTACGACGTGTTTACCAAACCCCTGTCTCTGCAAAGATTAATGAACTTCTATCAACGTGTGTAGATAAATTGCTTACACAGAAATCCACTATATGTCAAACGGGAACCGACATTTTTGAAGTAAATAATACCTTTTCACGGTTTTCCTGTCCGTTCAGCGATTACAATGGTACACCATATAACTTAAGGGAGACCATGTCGAGTATTTCTAAACCCAAGTGCCTTTGTGCCGTTTCCCACCTTTGTGTGAGACCCGGTAATACACATTTACAGTTCTATTTTTTTCTTTTTT